GCACAGCGTCACCATGGAAACAAGGCGAGGACCAGATGAAAGAGAGTCAGTCGAGGCTGTGTGTGCTTGTCATAGAAAGACAAATGTGTTTGAAAAACACTGCAGGAGAGAGAAGAAGGAAAATAAACAGGGAGCAAACTGAGCCCCCCCTACCCCTACTATCAGTCTGACAGATATTTACAACTTGACTGACCTCCGCAGACTTCTTTAAAACACCCACTTGAGACAAAAATATTGCAAACCAAGTTAGGTCTATAATAGTTTATTACAAAATAAAAGTGTAGCGCTTAATTGTAAGGAAAATAAATTGGTGTTCTACTGGAGGCTTCTTCCTGTTAAAAGAGAGTTTTTCCTCTCCACTGTTGCTGCATGCATGCTTGATTTGAGGAATCGGTGCAGAATCAGAACCATACAATGCAAACAAACGTTACTGTCACTACATCCTCACCCTGGAAGAGCAAATCCTGCAGTCAAGGACTGGATGCAGTCAGCCGGGTTCCCTTATGTTGGACCCGGTTCTGTATTCGAGAAGGAGTGTTTTCTGAAATATCCAAAAGGAGAAATGACATTTTAAGTACTAACAGAATTTAATACGCAGAAAGTACAGAGGCAGATTTTTCCACAGCACTGGATGAAGTAGTAGCAGAGAATAAGGCCTTTCCTCTTCTGTTTATTCTCACCCTGTCAGGGTGTTTCCTGTTAATATCAGACCTTTCTGCATGAAACAGAAACCTTAACCTCAGAATCCGGTTTTAACTGGTTTCCTCTAAAGTCTAAAAACACCAACCACACACTTTGCAAATAAAGCCATAACAGCAGTCCAGTTCATCCTAACCGTAACATAAGGCAGAAAATAAAAATTTGTCTCTTCTCACAGATTGACATTACCGGTGTTCATTTAGTGGAGTAGCAGCCTGCTGGTTAGGGCATAGAGCTTGGAATCCTGAGGTTCACAGCCTGCCATTCTGGGTCCCTGAGCAAGACCCTTAACCCCACATTGCTCCCCAAGGCGCCGCACAATGGCAGCCCACTGCTCCGCAAGGGGATGGGTTAAATGCAGAGATAAATTTCTCCAATGTGAGATCAATACAGTTCAGTTATTATTATTATTCATTCTTAACACTTAGAGAGAAAACTTTAAACCGATCTGACCTGGTGATCCGATGGAATTGTTTTTTTGAAGGGACCTGAGACGATATGTTGTGAATTGGCACTATAGAAATAAACTGAATAGAATTGAATAAACTGGACCCCAGAGGTTATGGGGAGAAATATAAAAGGGTTTCGGCTCAGAGTGGGAACGATTTTCGACCCTGTTATTTTTCCATCTACAACGACCCACTTATGGATCCCCTCGAAGAAAAAAAAGAGTAGCAACATAGTCAAACGTGTGTGTCTCAAATGTGGAAAACAATAGAAATAAACTTTGTGGATTAACTGATCTATCTTCAAGCATCACAAGAGAACCATCACCAAGACTTCTATCATGCGGTTTTACTGGCTTTGGTTATTCAAATGGAAGCGACATTGACCCACTCACACATACTAGGTCTACAACGTAAGCCTGAGTTTTGTAAAAACACCAACATAAAACAATACAATATAGAGTCAGACAGGCAGTTCTCAAAGAATGAACACATGAAAGCTCAGCTGTGTTTCAGTATTCGCTGCCAGTTTTGGTGGAATGTGGGCAATGAAATGGAATAATGTAAACAGATGTAAAACCCCATCATGCACCGCGACATATTGCTAAATATTCGAAAATAAATTCGCCAAATATAAGACCATCATCGTAGTTTGGTTTAAAGAAAGCATTTTAGTTTTATTATAATTTAGATTGTAGCAAGGATTTTACATTTTGAAGAAATAGAAAATGACACCATATGCCAACCGTCACAAGAATGTGCATGACATCCTTAAGCTCCTTGAGTTATTTACTGTCACAGGTAGGAGCTTCGGCCGGAGAGTAAGTGTTTGTATGATTTAAGGAGGGCCGGCCCTCGCACGCGTAAATTAGGACCGACCCACCGGGTAAATGCCTGCTATCACAGATTACCAGTCCGAGCCTGAAAGAGTTGCAGTGTTGAACTGAGCTTTAGTGAGTCAGGTATTTTATGGGTTTTTTTTGGATCATGGTGATGATGAGTTCAAAGGTCAGTGTTTTTGATGGGATTCATCTTTTAAACCCTTCAGATTTTATTCTTTCATTCTTCCCAGGTTTAAACAGGACAATGGAGCCATCATCACACCCCCCACCGCCATCATCTACACCATCCCTCTCCTCTCACAGTGCGCCGTCAGACTACAGTCACCATGGTAATATTGCCGATTATGGGTCAGCGGAGGACCAGGATGCCGGCGCTCAGGGGATCCACCTCCTTCTGAGACCTCCGGACCTCCTGTCCCCTAGTCTACCTCCGCCTCTCCCCCCGCACAGCCAGTCAACCCTCCCCCCTCCTCCCCCCTGGGAGCAGGGACCCTCCCTAGAGGAAGCATGGGGCTCTGGAGACTACCTGGAAACTCTCTCCTTCATGGTGCCAGATGGTGAAGAACTTGGCCTTGCCACGCCACTGCCCTCCCACCCCTGGGACACCGACTCAGAAGGGGACTGGGTGTCTTATGACAACACCTTTCCTGCCCGTCCAACCCTCCCTCTCCTCTCCCGTCTCCCCATCACCCCCACCTCCACTTCCAGTTTTCCCCTGGACACCCATACTGCTCGTCTGGATGTTTTCTCCACTTGGGACGAGGAATACGACCCGGAGGACATGATGCCTCTAGAGCCGACAGAGGTGCTGCTGCCAGACATGAACAGCCTGGAATACTATAACAAACTGCTGGCCCGGGAAAAGGAAAGACAGAAGGAGCGGGAACAAGAGGAGGAAAAACATCGGACCAAATCCAGACCTTCCATTATTCCCACAACAACCCAAACCCACCATTCTCCTCCAACACTAGACCCTACCCTCCATGTGCCTCCAGCAGAGGTAGAGCGTAAACATCCCCCAGAAGGACATATCCCTCCTCTGTCTCCCTCACCTGCTTCTACCAATGAGAAGCCAACTACTCCACCAAGCACACGCCAAACCTCCTCCACCTCTGCTCCAACATCCAGCACCACCAACCAGTTGCCACTTACTCCCCCACAGGGACCGACGTTGCGTCCAATCCAACCAGAAAGACCAGCAGTGATTACAGAAAAACCAGCAAAAAGTCCAGCCATAATGACCACCACCCAGATCACCTCCATCAGTCTAACCAGAGGACCCCCAGTTACCACGCCCAGAGGGGCCCAGACCCCTCTCACTAGACAGTACCTGTGCAATGTCACCAAGCCTGAGCTGTACCTGGTCCGAGTGGGTAAGTCCTCCACAGGGTCATGTGACAGGAAGTACCTTTTGTTCTACTGGACAGGTTTTGCAGTTGTGTCTCTGTCTGCAGTGAGTTCGAAAGGCTCATCGGCAGGTTTCAGTCATGTCCGAGATGTGCTGAGGAGAGAGTTCAACCGCTCGGTGGAGCTCCAGGTAAACACAGGACCCTATGTACTGTCCCTGACTTTAAAGTCGTAGGGAAACGGCTGTTCCGAATTCTCCCGAGTGGTGCACGACTTTACACAAGTGAATAAGGTGAATGTTATTGGTCGTTTATTAAGGGGGTGGGATTGTTGTGGCCGAAGGTTCGTAAGGAACTTTGGTTGTGGCCGGTTTCTCGGAAGCGTCTTGCTAACCAGTTAGCAACTTTGTTCCAGTAGATTCCCAATGGGAAAGTTGTTGACTTAGAAACAACACTGTCAAGGAACGCTATGGACAGAGGAAACATGCAAGAGGAGGAGAGTTTAGTGTTGGAGGTCGTGGATGAGTCTCCTCCGTCATCCATTTTTTATCTAGAGGAGGAAAGCGGGGATTTAGATGTTGTGGAAGAGGTCGCCAGGGCGGCAGAAGCTTGGTTTCGTGTAGAAGGCTTCCAGCCGTACATGTTGAGCCCTTGCCTCGCAACGCTGCCAGTTCTGTTAGCTCTACGCCTGCTGAAGACACAGACGTCCATCCCCGTGAACACTGGGACGGAACTCAATGGGAAAGGAAATTATTCTTTTTTCAACCGTTCAAGATGATATGACCGAAAAAACTTGATTGACAGATGACCGTTGATGTATGATTGGCCGAATTTAGGTGTTCAAGGTGACGTAGAACTAACTGGCCTGCAAAAGATAATGAAAAAAAAAAAACAGATTTTAAGACAGGGTTTTTTTTCTAAAATAGAAATGTCCTAAATTTTGGGACACTATTGTCTGATAAAGAATACATTTATATACATGTTTAAGCCAGAATGATTTGACATTTAAATATGATTTCCCTACGACTTTAACGGGCTTCTCATGATCCACTTATTTTAAACAAGTGATAATGTGCAAAAGGTGAGTGACTCCAACATGGGCTTACCTGAAAGTGTTCAGTTTAAACCTGATCAAACCGTTTCTGACTGCAGAGCCTGCTTTTTATGCTATCCAATTCTAGGCACATATATGATAAATTAATGCCAATCTATCTATTATGGTTCTGAATTATATCCTACAAAGTGCAACCATTTTTGCACAGTCTTTAGCTAGTTCGAAAGTTGTTTTCGGTTTATCACACCCTGTGGGGCTGTTGCTAACTTCTCCAGGCTGTTCATATAAGGGGTTGTGTGATTACTGACTTTATGATGACTCCTCAAGTAGAAGAAACAGGACAAATCCTTTTGGAGATGCCGGTGTTCTGTCAGATGAGCATACCCCATCAGACCAGCATACCCATAGTCAGTACACATGCGCAAGAAGTCAGATTTGCGTTTATCCCTTTAGTTTTGTACAAAAATAGACTTTAAATGACCTCATTGGGCATGCGTCCGTTTAGTCGTGTACAAAAAAAAACACTTTAAGGTCAGATCGCCATACGCTTAAAAAAAACACAAAAAAAGTAAGGAATTAAATTGTTTTTTTGTACATGACTAAAGGGATATCTATCCGTTGAGGTAGTTTAAAGCTTTTTTTTCGAACAAAACTAAAGGGATAAATGGGTATTGACTACGGTTATACTGGTCTGACTGGGTATGCTCATCTGACAGAACACCAGTAAGGCTGCAAAGTAGAGCAAACTGTTGTTGAGAGTTGCTCAAACACATTTTAGAAAGTTTAAAGGGTAAAAAATGTGCGATTTGCATAAATACCTAGAAGGAGTTGGCTATTTTATTGTAACATAGTCCTGCTGTTTCAGCCAGGTTTCTATGAGACAAAAAAAATGTATCTGATTTTCACCAAATCAAGTCTTGTTTTCACTTCATGAGCACTTCCTAAGTGTTACAACTATTTTGATTGATTGATGGAGGTGTTGGCCCAGTGGTTAGAGAAGTGCGATTGTTTTCTGAGATGGTTGCAAGTACCCAGTTTGATCCTCACTATCTCCACTCTGGGTTCCTGAACTAACCCCGGACGCCACATAATGGCAGCCCCCCAAATACAGAGAACAAATTTCCCCATTGTGGGACAATAAAGGGATTTACATGTACATAACTCCTTTGTTCTCCTCTTTTTCAGTTCCTGAGAACTCCATCCAGTTTCGCCTTCCGCGTCGTGTCAGGACCGATGATATTCACGGCCATATCTGTCATCAACGCTCTCCGGCGGTCACCGCGTAGCTCCGGACCCATTCCTACTGTATCCCCACTGTACACCATACCTGACCTCTGGTACCAGATCCACTCAGTGCTGCAGTTTGTTCCCACCCACGTTGATGTCAGGGTGTGCAACTTTACAGAAAGGGTGGAGAGAGGGCTGATGATGGCGTATGCAGAGAGCCGAAGGAGGTCTCATGAGGCAGGAAACGTCACTGTACAGGTGAGTCATACCTGTTCGCTGATCTCCCGATATCACGATCAGATGATTAAGTCTTTGAATTTCCTCTCACAGCTGCTGAACATCACAATGGGCGTAGCTCGGCCAGCGTCGGGCCGGAAGGTTCCCGTTGACATTACATTTGCGGTGCGAGACGGAAGGGGCTACCTTCCAGGGTCGGAGGTTAGCGATCACCTGAGGAAGCTCAGCATGGTTGAGTTCAGCTTCTATGTTGGATTTCCTGCTCTACAGATTGCAGAACGTACGTCAACACACAACTCAACATTAATCCTTAATAACCTTTTGTTTCTGGAGTTGACTTTTTAAATCTGTGTGTTCACAGCCTTCCATTATCCAGAGCTAAACATGTCTCACCATCTGCGCACCACTTGGGTCCGTACAGGTACAGCTGCAGCTCCGACTCTCATCGGAAGAAGTTATGTTAGAAAAGTCGTAGCTGTAGAGTTTCACCTTTTCTCTGTATACTTTCAGTCCTATTAGGTGTTTATGAGCAGCAGGTGGCTGAGAGGAGCTTTAAGGCGCGTCTGGAGAGACGTCTGGCTCTGCTTCTGGAGGAAGGACTGCAGGAGACCAGCAGGAGGCGCTGGAGAAGAGCAACTGCAGTTGGCAACAACAGTCTGCAGGTAGGAACCAATCAGAGAAAAATGATCTGCTAAATGATTTTTCACAGCTGCTCAGGTTTATTTGACCATCAGATTCCTGACTCTGGGATGTGCTGCGTCAGCATTTGCGATAGTTTCAGCAATAATACAAAGAATCAAACAAAAAAACAACTAGTTATTAGATTTGTTTTGGTAAACTAACAGCATAGCTCTAAAAGATGAACAGTTTTTCTGGTGCAATTTTTTGAATAATATTAAATAAGCTTAATATAAAGATCATAAAACCTCTTCCTCAGTGAGAAAAAAGATGCATATAAACATATTTCCAGATAGGAAGCATATTGTTACCATATATTGTTACTCTAGGAGGCGCTGTTTCTGTCTGAAGGGAGGAAACACACAGAGCCAATCATTCACTTTGCCTGTAAACTGAAATATTGCCGTATTTGCTCATTTATAAAAACACATAAGAATCCATCTGTCCTGCTCCCACTTCAACCATTGGAGATAGACACAAAACAGCTCCACCAATCATTTTGCAGCATTACTATGGTCCATGGGCGTAGGTTTGCATAGGGACCATAGGGACATGTCCCTACCAAAATTTTGGAAGGACCTATTTTTCCCTACCAATAATTGGATGTGAACAACATGTTTATAATTTACTATACAGCAGCCGCTTCTTTTCCTCTCGCAGCTTCTCTGCCTGGTAGCTGCAGCTGCCTGCTCTTTCCTTTCCCTTTCACATAGCAG